GCCTTAATGATTTGTTGTTGTGTGCTGTTGAGTCAGTTTCAACTCACAGTGACCCTATATAACGTTACAGAGAGTGGCTGGTGGGTTTGAACTGCCAACCTTGTGGTCATCAGTCAAGTGTTTCTCCCACAGCGCCACACCAGGGCCCCCATAATGATTTACAGCCTTGGAGACCCCAAGGGGCTGTTGTACTGTGTCCTACAGGGTCACTAAGAGTCACAGCCCACTCAGGACAGCGGGAGGGAACATTCTCTCTGTTTCACAACAGAAGCCTCGTGTGTGCTGCTCCATGGGTCTTTCAGAAGTAGATTGCCAGGACTTTCTTCTGAGGTGCTCCAGGTGGACTTGAACGTCCAAGCTCTTGGTTAGCAGCCGAGCGTGCTCACCATCTGTACCCCAAGACTCCTGGCTCTGTGCTGTGATCCCCGTCTTCTGGACTCTGGGCATGTCAGGACCCTTTGTGGACCCTTGTTTCCCAATCATCCCCTGCTAAGCACACCAGAGGGACCGTCCCCCCCAGTAAGCAGGACCTGAGAGCCCCCTTTATAAAAGCCATCACATTCCCTGGGGTGGGCAGGAGAGGGTGCTCTGAGAGATGTCCACTGGAATTCCAGTCACATTTCTATGTCTCTAGCAGCTTCCACTGTGGCGAACTAAGAGCCCTCAGTCAGCTGACTGGATGCACTAGAAACCAAGTAGCCCTTCCTGGGCCAATGCCAAACAGGACAGACCAGCTGAGGTCCACTCAGTCTCCTTCATGCCAGGACCACAGACAAAACTGAAGTCCCCTCCATCCTGTACCACCGGGGCCACAGACAAAGCAGGCAGATTGGTCCTTTCTGAGTGTCCTGGGTGCCAGATGCTGGCTTCTCTGCCCCCACTCTGAGTCCTGGAGCACACACGCATGCAGAGGCGGTCAACAGTCCCCTGTGGACACAGATCTCAGCCTACAGGGTCCAGATCAGCACAGTCCTACCAACCACAAAAGGCCCTGCAGTGGCGGGACCACCATACACGTCCCCCGGGGAAGCTGAGGCTCAGAGAACCCAGAGGGGCAGAACCAAGTATGATATTCCATCTCCCAGATGCTGGGCCGGGACCCCGAGGAGCTAGATCTCACCACAGAGCGCATGCTCCTAACGCGGCGGGAACAGACTCATTCCTGGGGTTTAGACGCTAACGACTCATTCTGGGGAAGGCAAGAGTTAATATTCCAACCCACATTGACATCACAGGCAGGAGATGGAAAATGACCATGAATTTTTAATATCAGACATGACACTTTCATGGCAGGCCAAGTCCTCTGGGCTGTGTCTTTACATCTGCTCTAGTCACCCCATCTGAGGGACACTGCAGAGACATTGGGGTCTCTCAGGTCAGCCACCCACCACAGGTGTCAGCCTGAAGAGCTCTGACCATCCTGCAGGTAAGGAGGAAATTAATTCTGTGAGGTCAAGGTTCATCTGGATCTTAGCTAAAAGCAGAGAATACCAGAGAAATGTTTACCTGTGCTTTATTGACTATGCAAAGGCATTCACCTGTGTGGATCCTGACAAGCCGTGGACAACATTGCAAAGAATGGGCATTCCAGAACATCTAACTAACTGTGCTCGTTAGGAACCTGCACAGATTCCAGGAGGGAGTCATTGAAACAGAACAAGGGAACACTGAATGATTGAAAATCAGGAAAGTGTGTGCCAGGGTTGGATTCTTTCATCATACTTATTCAACCTGTATGCTGAGTAAATAAACTGAGAAGCTGGATTACATGAAGAAGAGCGTGGCATCAGGATTGGAGGAAGACTCATTAACAACCTGCGATATGCAGATGATACAACCTAAAATACTGATGAAATTGACAACCACAGTCTTCACTATGGATTCACCTCACTGTAAAGAAATGAAAATCATCAAAACTGGGCCCATAAACAATATCATGATAAACAGAGAAAAGATTGAAGTTGTCAACGACTTCATTCTTCTTGGATCCACCATCAACACTCACGGAAGCAGCAGTCAAGAAATCAGATGACGTATTGCGTTAGGCAAATCTGCTGCACAAGACCTCTTTAAAGCGTTCAAGAAAAAAGATGTTGGTTTCAGGACTAAGGTGCACCTGACCCAAGCCATGGTATTTTCAGTCACCTCATATGCATGTGAAAGTTGGGCAATGAGTAAGAAAAGATGGAAGAAAAATCGATGTTTTTGAGTTACGGTGTTGTAAAGAATACTGAATGAACCTTGGACTGTCAGAGAATGAACAAGTCTGTCTGGGAAGAAGTACAGCGAGAACCGAATGCTCCTTAGGGCTCAGGATGGTGAGGGGTCATCTCTCATACTCTGGACATGTTAGAAGGAGGAACCAGTCCCTGGAGAAGGACAGCATGCTTGGCAAAGTTGAGGGAGAGTAAGTGAGACAGAGGAAGACCCCCAGGGAGATGGAGGGACACCGTGGCTGCGGCTATGGGCTCCGACACAACAAGGATTGTGAGGCTAGTGATGGACCAGGTAATTACGTTTTGTTCTGTTGTACGTAGGGTCACTGAGTGGGCACTGACTCACAGCACCTAAAAACAACAATTCTGTAAGGTAGGCTGGCTCCGAAGCCGTCTCCAAAGATCTACATTTGTGACTAATTGGCGGTACATGGATTTCTAATAGCGCCTCATCTCCCTGCACAACAACCGGGTAACTCAGGAGGTGGACCCTTACCACACCCACACTGGACCAAGCCATCCTGAGGGTAGAGGGTCTGCTCTTTCTACAAACACAGTATCACCTGGTGCATGTGTTCCTGAGGGGTCTCTTGGGGTCCCGTCCTGGCTGTGCGATGAGGACACATCTAACTGTTTCCACAAGATACAGTGGATTCAGTTCCCTGTCCCCATCATAGCCCCGATGGTCCAATGCTAGTCTCCAGTACCCAGAGAGGGTCTGGCACACAGTAGGTGCTCCCTGGACACTTCTCATCTACAAGACTGGGAAGGAGCTCTCTCCCAGCACACAGTAGGTGCTACGTCTGCATATCTTGTCTACAAGGTAGAACGCAGGCTCTCTCTAGACCTAGCACATAGTAGGTGTTATATCTACTTGTCTACAAGGTAGAACACGGGCTCTCTCCTCAGCACCAAGCACAAGGCCTCAGCACCCAGTAGGTGCTGCATCCACATGTCTTGTCCACAAGGTTAGATGAGGGCACACAGTGGGGCTCCATGAATATCTGTTGAACAAGTGGGTGGTGGTGTTGGTAGGAGGTTTAAGGCCCTCTGTGAGGCACAGGTTCCGCCCTGGTGAGCTGTATCTCATTCTCAGCGGTCTTAGGAATGGGAAACTGAGGCTGGGAGAGGAAGAAGAATCTGCTGAAGCCACGTGGCTCCTCGAGGGGGTAGGGCTGTGCCCCAGCTGTAGGAACCCCTCTCTCCACAGAGCTCTGCCATTGGGGATCTGGGGAGCCCAGGCTACGGCTGGTGCACCAGGGCATGGCAGGTCTGGGTTCGAATCCCAGTCAGTGCCAGGTAGGGATGCTGTGTCTAGTGATTCTGGTGCCACCACATGTACCTGGCATGTGTACACACCACTGCCTGCAGGGGTCAGCCCAAGGTCCCCAAACTGAGAAAGTCCAGAAACTTGAGAGCAAGAGGGCGGGGTCCAGCAAGTGCAGAAGGACAGTTCAGGGGAAGGGCTTTCTCTGTAGGCCCCCACTGATGCGCCCCCAACCACCCACCCATCAGGTACTCAGGAGACCGGAAGGATGGCCTCTGGTCCACGCCCTGCCTCTCTTCCTCTCCTCGAGGCCCGGGCTCTCAGACCTGTTGGAGCTTTGCCGTGTCCACACGCACGTAAAACCAGCTCCGAGTTTCTCAGGTTGTGCCAACTTCCTCAACAATTTTCTCCAAACAATGCCACCATTGTCCACACATCGTCTACATCGCCCTGAACTTCTCACTGATCTGTTCGGGTTTCTGTTGGCAAGTTGATCTCATGGAGCCAGTGTTGTTGTTAAGTACCGTGGAGTCGGTTCCGACCCATAGCGACTCTGTACAGGGTTTCCGAGGCTGTAAATCTTTACAGGAGCAGAATGCCTCATCTTTCTCCCACGGAACAGCTGGCAGTTTCGAACTGCTGACCTTGCGGTTCCCAGCCGGATTCATAACCACTACGCTACCAGAGCTCCTTATAGAACCAGTAACAGGACATAGAAATGTATGAATACAAGTGAACATAATGCTCACAGTGGTGTCGGATTTGTTGTATATGTTTTTGCCAAAAAATAAAAATGAAAAAAGAGCCACCTCCCAACGTCCATCCTGGGAGGTCAGCAATGTGGACCGAGGATTCGCTCCCCTGCTCTGCCCACTTACTGACCACAGCGTCCTTGTCCAACTGCTGCCGGTGCCCCTGCTGTTGAATCACCTGATTCATGGGACCCCCATGCTTACCAATGACATCCGGGGCTCCCAGCCCTGAGGGTTCTCACTCAAGTTACCAGGAGCACAGGGGGGCGTGAGCATGCTGGGCTCTGTGCATCTCTGTGGGCTCATTGTGACTCTCACTGAGAAACTGAGGCCCAACCCTGTCTGGCTCCCATTCTGCAGCCCGGAGCAGCTGTTCTGACTATGGCATGGGGTTGAGCTCATGGAGGGCAGCTGTCCCTGACCCCCTGGGCTCTGGGGGTGTCAGCGGCAGCCCCGCGGCTTACAGAGGGCACCCAGACTCCTCACTCCCCAGCCAGGAAGCTCGCCCCAGACCAGAAATGACATAAAGTTCACACAGAACCCAAAAGCAAAGCACAACCTAGCAAGCAGAAAACAGAGCTGTTGCCATCATTGCCTTCCCCGGCACAAACAAGGACAGAGCCGCTGCTGTGTGTGCCCCCGCTCCGGACCACCGCCTCCGATCTCCTGACCTGGTGGAGCCCGGGCTCACTCATGCCATAGCCTTGGTCCCCCACCGACCCCGGCCCCATGGATGGCAGGCGGGCCGGCGACCCCAGCACCTACCTTCCGCTTGTTGGTCGGGCAGATGTAGAAGTTGTCGATGACGGTGGTGACACCAGGCTGCAGCGTGAGCTTCGTGTAGGTCGTCCCAAAATCTGATGACCTAGAGACAGGACAAGACCATCAGAGTCACCATGTGTCTAGCAGCGCCCCCTCCCAAGGAGCAGTGTGTCCCCACAGGGCAGGGGGGACCAGCTCACTGGAGGGTCTGTGACCCAGCTAAGCCTGGAGCTAGACTGGAACCCAGGCCCCTGTGACCAGCTGTGTTCATGTGACCCACGCTCCCATGTCTGCACAGTACCCCAGGCTGCTTCCAAGCCTGCTTTGTCCTTCTCACATCACTGTGTCCTTCCATGTGCCTCCTGCCCCGAGCACCCTCACTCCCTTCATTTCACAGATACACAAGATGGGAGGTCAGGGGACACAGGTGACCTCAAGCCAGGTCCTCCTCCTCAGAGTCCACAGTTCTCATCTGAATCTGAGGGGGACGTGGACAGAATACCTTCCCACCAGCCAGAGCATGGTGGAGTCACAGCTGTGACTTGGATGCCAGGGGATAAGGGGACATCGAACAGCTTCTAGTCATTGTTTTGTTTGTTACTATGCAACCCCGTGTGTGTAGCGTACAACTGCCCCGTAGGGTTTTCAAGGCTGGGAACTTTCAGAAGCAGATAGCCCGCCCTCCCTTCCAAGGTGCCTCTGGATGAGTTTGAACCACCAATTTTGGGCTAGTGGACCAGCACTTAACTCTTTGTGCCACACAGCGTACGGTGGGATCAGTGCTGACTCATGGCGCCCCATGTGTGCCGAATAGAACTGCTCTATAGCATTGTCTAGACTGATTTTTATGGGAGCAGACAAACAGGGCTTTCTTCCTCATAGCTGGTGGGGAAATTGGAACCCCTGATCATTCAGTTAGCAGTCCAGCGCTTAACTGATGTGTCACTGAGGCATAAAGCACCAGGGAGCCTGAGTTGAAGACCCTGGTCTCTCCCAATACCGGCGGTGCGCAGGAGGGGAGAGCCGGGTCCAGAGAGACAGTGTCTCCACCTTGGCCCCCAACTCCACAGCACTCACTGGATACTGCCCTCGAATTTATCTCCCTACTCCCAGAAACTGGGGAGAGGCAGAGATGGAGACTTCCTGGGAGTCTCAGAAGAAATTATCGCATCCGATCCCCGTTCATCTCTGAGCCCCGTCTCAGAGGCTGTGAGATGGTCCAATTCTGTTCTTTAAAATCACCCCAACAATGATCATGAGCATCAGCTCAAGGGAACGCGGAGACAGGGCCTACGTCTGTGGTCCTGGTTCTGGCTGCCCCAGGACACAGGGACAGGGACTTGTGGATGGGAGCCGGCACCGTGGTAGGCTTGTCCTCCACCTCACCCCACCCCATCCAGTCCAGTCTCCCACCTACTCATCTACACAGGGCAGAACACACCCCCATCCCATAATGCACCCTGAACTTCCCTGGAGAGCTGAGGGTCCAGGCCAGCAGCAGGGTTCAGGGCCCCTGCCCCCAGCCCTGTCAGCTGGACCCTGCTCCAGGCCAGGTCAGACAGCATCTCCTCAGTGGTGTGAGAACAAAGGTGACCAGGGAGTCCCTCCCTCAGGGCCTCAGAGCTTCCAGAGAGGAGGGAGGAGGGAGCCAGCATGTTTGGAGTCCGGGATGCAGGAAATTCCAGTGACCAGAGCAAACTGAAGCGTCCTGTGTCCCCTCCTCTGGGCTGTGCTTGCTAGCTCTATGCGTTTCATGGGAGGTGGACACTCAGCCACACCTTTGTCCCTCCTGTCCCCCAGCCACCTCCCACCAAACCAACGCACTGCCATCAAGCTGACATCCGTTTCTAGGGTCTTACAGGACAGGGGGCACTGCTCCATAGGGTTTCTGAGACTATACATCTTTATAGGAACGGACAGCTTCAGCTTTCTACAGCAGAGCAGCTTGTGCGTTTGAACTGCTGACCTTGTGGTTAGCAGTCCAGTGTTTATCCACCAGGGCATATCCCCAAACTCATGTCACCTGGAACCTACAATGGAACCTTACTGGAAGGAGGGTCTGTTGTGGATTGTGTCCCCCGCCCCCCAAAAAAATGTGTTCAAGTCCTAATCCTAGAAGCCATGAATGTGATCCTGATGGACCCAGAGTGAAAATACACACACAGTCTGTGAAAGTAAAATTCAGAGATTTATGGAAGTCCAGAGACAGTCTGGACAGGGAGGATGTCCAAATTACAGAGCAAAGATGACCACTCCTCCAGACAAGAAAAAAACCAGCAGGAAGGGGCGGCACAAACTAAGTCATGATCACCGGAAAGACCAAAGGGGAGGCAGAGCATCTACAAGTGGGAATCCGTCAGGCAAAGCTGGATAACATAGATGAGGAAGGGGCTTCAAAAAGTTCATGAAGAAACCCCATCAACTTTTCACTCCATTTCTCCACAAATTTTTGAAGTCCCCTCATATGTGAGCTCAGCAAAAAAGAGGGAGACTCCCAGCAAGATGGATTGGCACAGTGGCACCATCAATGGGCTCAAGCATAACAATGATTGTGACGTTGGTCCAGGACCGGGCAGTGTTTCATTCAGTTTTACATAGGGTCGCTATGACTGGGTACCAACTCGATGGCACCTACCAACAACCACAACACATGTGTGATAAGCTGCCTGGTGAAGGATATGTGCTTCTCAGCTACAGGATGTTCATGGGGGCTTTCTGGGAAGCTGATGTTAAAATTGCTTTCTCAGGCATGTCTGTCTCTCCTTAGGATGCAGACTCTCACATCCTGCATCCAATCATGGAGGAAAGCGCCCCCACCCCCACCCCCAGAATAGCCCGTGGTGGCTTAGGGTTTATGGTTTGACCGACGCTAAGGTCGGAGGGAACCGCTGACACAAGGGATTCCAAACACCAGTCAACACTTGAACATGAGTTCAGGTCCTCTTTTAGACCGCTCTGTCCACACACAGCATGCGCCTGGACACTGGTTGTGTCCGTGAGGCCATATGGGGGTGGAGACACTAACATTGTCAAGGATTTCTGTCCTCTGACGTCTGCAGCCAATGCCGTGGAAGCAGTAGTCAAGTCAGCGGGCAGATCCACTGTTGTGTAAGGTGTGAAAAGTGAAGTGATCGCTTTGAGGATGAAGGGGTCCTTGACCTTAGTGACGGGCAGAGGACTGGAGGGAGTCCTTCCAGGTGGGCGTGGGGGAAGAAAGGAGGCAGGTGAAGGTGTTCTGGGAAATCACAGAGCAAGGTCGTTGTTGTTTGTGGTTAGGTGCCGACAACTCAGCTCCAACTCATAACAACCCGACTCATGCACAACAGAATGAAACACTGTCCAGTCCTGCGCATCCTCTCCATCAGCGTTACGTTTGAGCCTGTGGCTACAAACTCTGTGCCAATCCATCTTGTTAGGGGTCTGCCTCTTTTTCACTGACTTCACTTTGCCAAGCAAGATGTCCTTGTCCCGGGACCCATTCTTCCTGATGACCTGTCCAAAATATGAGAGACAGTGTCTCCCCACCCCTACTTCTAAGGAGTTTCATGGCTGTACTTCTTCCAAGACTGAAGATCTCTATTCTCTGACAGTCTGAGGTGTATTCGTATTCTTCTCCAACACCATGACTCAAATTCATCAATTCTTCTCAGGTCATCCTTATTCACTGTCCAATTTCCACATGCATATGTTGTTGTTAGGTGCCATCAAGTCAGTACCGACTCATAGCGACCCTGTGCACAACGGAAGGGAACACACACTGCCCAGGCCTGGGCCAACCTCACAATTGTTCCCACACTTGAGCCCATCGATGCTGCCACTTTGCCAATCCATCTCACTGGAGATCTTCCTCCACTTTACCAAACATGATATCCTTCTCCAGCAACTGGTCCCTCCTGACAATATGTCTGAAGTATAAGAGACGAAGTTTGACCATCTTGGCCTCCAAGGAGCACTCTGGCTGCACTTCTTCCAACACAGATCTATTGGTTCTTTTGGCAGCCCATGGCACTTTCAATATTCTCCTCCAACACCATAACTCAAAGGCATCAATTCTTCTACGATCTTCCTTATTCATTGTCCAGCTTTCGCATGCATATGAGGTTATTGAAAATACCATGGCTTGGGTCAGGCGCACCTTAGTCCTCCAGCTGACATCTCTGCCCTTTAACACTTGAAAGAGATCTTTTGGGATAAAATTGCGTGTGGGAATTGAGCCCCTTGGTTTCCTCTCAATGACTGCAGTGTCTTCAAGGTGACTTATCCCACCTCCTCCCTGAGATTCCTGCTTCCATTCGTCCTTCTTCCCCACTTTTCTGAATTCCGTCCTTGGGTAATGTTGCCCTTTTCATCTCGAATGGTTGAACATTCTATGGTGTGCGTACCTCACTAGTGTTGTTGGCCCCCCGTAGACTTGACTTATCTACTGCTGGCTGAAAATTGAGCTGCAGGAGTGAGTTCAGTCCCAGACCTGAAGGGTGACCCACGGCCATAGTCCTGGGCTTTCTCCGGTCTCTTTCTGACCATTAAGCCTGCTCTTCTTTATGATTTTGAGTTTTGCTCCAGTTTCTCCCACTCCGTCCAGGGCCTTCTAACGTGATCCCTTTCAGAGCAGTTGATGGTGGCAGCTGGGTATCATCTACTTCTTCTGATCTCAGGGTCCTGGAGACTGATGGTCACCTGGTCCATTGGTTCCAAGTGTCTTCAATTGTCATCACTCGTTTTTCCTCCAGACAGAGAGTGACCAAGGGCTGCACCTTAGATGGCCGCTCATGAGCTTTTACTATTCCAGTTGCTACTCACCAAAATATGGTGTAGAACACTGTCTTGCTGGACTACGTTATGCCAGCTCACCCTGGTGTCCCTAGAGTCTTTCAACCAGGGTCTGACCTTAACAATGGTATGTTGTGTCCTCTTCTGAGTCCAACTTGAAGTTCTGGGCAGCTCCCTGTTGGGATTATCTTCAGCAAGACTTTACTTGCGTGTGATATTAATGAGATCCTTCCACAGTTTCCACATCCTGTGGAATTCACCTTTCTTTGGAATGGGCATCAATGTGAATCTCTTTCCGTCGGCTGGCTGGGTAGCTGTCTGCCAAAACTCTGG